AGAGGATTTCAGAAGGTGGCAGTTTGAGGTTGGGTAGGATTTCTATGATATCTAAAGATCTATTAGTTAGATTAAGGTGAAAGTTGGCATGGTGTTGAAAGACTTAAAGATCAAGTTACACACTAATTTTGAAATAAAGTTAATAGTTGGAAAATGAAAAATCATTGTTGGAATTTCTACTTCACTTTTCAAGTTGGCGGCCGAGTGATATTAGTGCAATTTTTGGAGGTTTTTTCACAATCTATAAGTTGGATTGGGCTAAAAATTCTTGAGTACATAGAAGACTTACATTGACAATTGCATGCAAAATTCCACATCAAGTGGATGGTCGGATTGGATGTTACAGCTTATTAAAGCCCACTAATTAGGATTGGGACTTACAAGAAAAATCTAAATTACTTGAATATGAAAGTAACAAGGTAATTGGGATTTATGTATGGTTAAGACTACTAAGAAGAGTGTTTTAAGAACTTTTGAATTGAAATTTAGATTATATTCTTCTTGTACGGGTGAAATCTATTAGGATTTTTTAACTACTTGAGAAATACAATCTCACCTTCCACAATTAGGTGTCTGGTGTTTCTTGAGCAAAACAACACGTAATATGACAATGAATCCTTATAATTGTTGATATTTTAATCTGAGATATATTTATTAATAATATTTTAATTTGAGCAAGTTCAATCTGAGCTTCATTAATTGGAATTCTTGTAGTCCAAGTTGCATCATTGAAGTCATTAGGTATTTTATTTGCAACTCGTTTTAGATACAGAATCTTGGCAACTTCACTTTTAGCCAAAGATGTTTTAGGATCAAGATTCATTATAAATGTTTCTAGTGCTCTAAATACAAGTACTTTATTTCTTTGTTGATTGAATATTCTTTCTCAAAGAGATGAAAATATATTCACTTTAGAATGGTAATTTTGAAAATATGCACATAATAATACTGGAACCCAAGTACGGAAATCAAACATCCATAGGTAAAATACATTTGGAACACGACCTCAAATGAGTTCTTGTGGTGTAATAATTTTAAGAGAAGAAGGAAAAAAGCCTATTAATACTGCAACATGCAAAACTTCATGACTCTACATAGATGCAAGTAAATTCGCATGAAGGAGTGGCTAGGTAATGAGTTGTATATACTTTATAAATGACTCTGCAAGTCCATTTTGAGCATGTTCATATCAAACACAATATGTCAACTCAATCTGTATTACAATACAATAGTCTTCAAAGGACTTTTATGCAAATTCTTTTGCATTATTCATATACAATGATTTGATAGGATAATCAAGAAAATATGCTTCAAAACAAATAAGCATAGATATAAGATTAGCAAATACTATGTTTTGAGATAATAATAATGAAACATATGATTTTTTATTTGATGCGTGAACAAAGATAAAAAAATGACAAAATGGTTTTGACATTGGATTAATAGGACCACAAATTTCACTATGAAACTTTTCAAGCATTGGTGGTAATTCTTGTGGGAGTTTTCAAATTAAAGGCCGAGCAATCATCTTGCCTTGCACACATGCATGATATAATTCTATAGAATCTATACTTGTAGGTCTTAAATTATGCCTAGTTATACAAGGAATTATCTTCCAAAATAATGTAAATCTTGGATGTTCTAATCATCCATGCCAAGAGAAACATGACTCTCTGTCATAGATGATGCAAAATTAAATATAATAGGAAGTCGGATTGCAATTCGAAATGAACCACTTGTAGCAGCAAAGGTTTTTTTTACAACTTTATGATTCTATTCAAGAATCAAAACCTCTCTTCTATCTAAAATTAGAGTTGAGAGGTCATAACCATTGATACGTACATCTCGGTAGCTAATCAGACTCTAAAGTGTTGAAGGTGCAAACATTGAATGTTTACATTTTATGATAGAAATCACAAGCAATTTTACCATAATTGTTTCTTCTTGGAAATAAAATGCATGTATTCCAGCCATAGTCATCAAATTTCTAGTTTGCCAAATTGAAGAATTTTTAATAAAAAAAACCATCTATTTCTCAAGATAGTATGTCTTGTTGCAGAATCAATGAGCACATCATTTGATTCATCATTAGAGATTTTGTCTTTGTTTAAGCCTCTAAATCATCAACATCAATTGAATCTATAGATGCATCTATGGTATGAACTTTACAAGCCTCAACTTGAAGTTTCTTATTTTTTTGGAATATTTTAACAAAATATTTTGAAATATCCCATGCATGTGTCAAATATCCAATCATTCCACATTTATGGCAAGAACATATCTTTGATTTTTATTTTTTATTATAATTAGTTGTAGAATGTTTATTCTTTCTATATATATAGATATAGTCACAATTATGACTGACTTAGTACTTATAAGCATTTTTTCCATGTTTGTGTAATTATTTCTTAGACTTTGGAATATTGAATGTATGAGATTTTGGAATCGTGGTTTCAATAGAATAAGCTTTTGCATAATGCAAAAATAGGTCGTTTTGTTTCTCCACAAGAAGTAGATAAGACATGAGATCAAGATGACTCTGGAATTTCATATTCCTATATTGTTGTGCAAGTATAGCAGATGCGAGAGGAAATGTAGAAAGAGTTTTTTCAATCATTTCTTCTTTAGAGATGCTTCGTCTACATAACCATAGTTGTAAGACAATATGATATATTTCACTATTAAAAGTATTTAAATTTAGAAAATCTAAGACACATAAATGTATCCAAGCATGATGTGCACATAGAAGAAAAATGGTCTTTTAATGATCAAACCTAGATTTAAGATTCTCTGAAAGCTTGGTTGGATCTTCTATTTCTAAATATTGATATTATAATGCATATATAAGATATTGATGAAAGAAAAGAAGTGCTTTCCGATGGATAGCAATAAGAATTGAAGTACTTATAGTTGGAGATTCTTCAAATAGAATTACATCTAATAGTTGTTATGCAAATAAATTTATGTTTGCCAATTTTGTCCATAATAGATAATTATTTCTATTAGCAACCAATGGTGGAAATAGAAGCGCTTAAAAATATTGGGATGGAATGGTGATAGTTGGAAACATAGTAGAGGCAATTGAAGATGTTGAAGTACTCATTATAAATAAATTTGTGAACAAAAATATAAGTTCAAATAGAAAAGGTTGAGTAAAATGCACCTTAAAATATAAAGCCAAATAGAATGATAAAGTTAAAACTCAAAATCAAAAATGCTAAAAAAAAATTAAGATTTTTTTTTTTTTTTTTTCACAAAAATAAGAGTTTGCAGTGGATTGCAATAGGGTGCAGCAATTTGGTGGTAGGATATGTTAGTTGGTGGTAGTTTGGTGGCAGGGTGCATCAATCAACAGCAGTTAGCAGCAAGGTGCAGTATTTGATAGCAGTCAACAGTAAGGTACGTCAGTCAACAATAGTCAATGGCAGGGTGCGGCAGTTGGCGGTAGGATGCGACATTTGATGGCAGTCAATGGCAGAGTGTATCAATCGATGGCAGTCAAGGACAATTAGTGGCGAGGTACAACAGTTGGCGGTAGGGTGCGTCAATTGATAGCAACGACAACAACACAAGACAATACCAGTAGCACAACAACAACAACAACAATATAGGACAACAACAACAATTGCAACAAGAATAACAGCAACACAACAGTAGTAGCAACACAAGAAGGAAAAAAAAATTGAAGAAAAAACGAAGGAAAAAGTGCACATAAGTTTTTAAGAACCAAGACTAGAGTATAAGAGCAATCGTCTTGATAACGTATTGAGAATGTTTTAGAGAAAGAGAGACAAGAGTAGTTAGAAGTAATATGCACATTTATGTAAATATACACACATAAGAAGTGAGTTTATTGATTGAATTATATCTCTTATATAAAGAGAAGGAGAGAAGATAAATAGTGTCTCTCCACTACATTCTAAACACTAAAGCTACAGTAAATAGTATAGAGAGCGCTGGCTATATTTAATGCTCTCAATAATAATAATTAGTTTTTTTGGCACATCAAAGATCTATTGGAACATCTCTCATGATTACCTTTTAAAATAAAATATTTCTTAATAATAATATTAAAATATATCTTTTTATTAATATTAGAATCATATCTTTGGTTGTATCCTAGTTTCTTCTCAATTCTTATTTGTTACAATTTTTTTGATGTAATTTTTTATATATAAATTAAAATTTTATACATCTTTTTAAATTCTAGGTAAATATTTTAAGTTCTATCTCTAATCTTCTACTTCAATATTTTCTTATTTTTAAATATAAAATATTTCTTTCTATTATAAAGTTGATTTCATTTTGACTATTCTTTGCATTGATTACTAATTATAATTTCTAACTTTGACAAATAGATGTCATTACAACACTTTTAAATGATATTTCTAAAGAAGTAATTCACAATATTTATTCCAAAAGGGTAATAATATCTAACAACGTCATTAAATTATGTTATTCTTAAATATTATTTTATAATTTTGAAAATTCCTATAAATATGATATTATTAATAATTTTTAAAATTTATACTAAATATTCAAATATAAATTTAGATATTAATATTTATTTTCAACATTATTTTTTATCCAAAGTTTATTTTAAATATTAGATAATAATTTTTTTTAAATTAATTAGAATCAAATTATATTTGCTTATTATTTTTAATAAGTACGAAAAAAATAGCTTTATTCTTAGAGTTAATTTATTTACTTAACTCCATTATTAGTAGTTTAATTATCTTTCAAAATAACATGTATTGAATATGCAAAATATTTTTTATTAAATAATTAACATTATATTTTAAATTTCTATTGAGATTGATATATATATATATATATATATATATATATTTTACCTAGAGCACAAATAAAGACATAAAAAGACATAAAAAGATAGGGGGTATTAAATTAAATTATATAACGAGCCTTTATGCCTTAAATTTACTTATAAATATTTGATTTTATGTAAAGAACACTTTACACTAAAGAGACAAGGTGAGTGGCCTCAAACTTTTAAATTTTTTGATTTATTCAAATCAAAAAGCGTCCTCGAATTAGCTTTATACTTCAAAAAAATAAGCCTAAAGGTCCTAAGAGTAAAAAACGAGAAAAATTGTATTTTTTTTCTAAATAGCATAAATAGTGTTGCCCCTCACAGAGAAAACTCGCAGATCAGAGTTGTCTTTCTGCACAGAAATCTGTTGATTAGCAAAGCAACTTTGCTAAAAAATTGTTTGTATCAACGAAGCAGAGTTTCTCACCACTTTCTAGTTTGGTGATGGACTGATGCCGAACTAGCGAGCACTCCCACCCATGCCCAGTTCACGCTCATGTGTGAGTCCAATAGACCCTTAGGTAGAAACTGCCACTGCGAAAACTAAGAACAACATCTGGTGTGAAGATGGAGTTTCTGAGCTTCCTGACAAGCTATTGTTTAACGTAGAAGGCGTAGTCGGCGGTGTAGGGCGCCCTCCTGACGCGCCCCTTGGGAGCGCTCAGTTTGATGCTGGGTGCGATTCCTCCCATGGTGTTTAATCGTTGCACATAACGCACGGCTCCGAAATACCTTCTGCAAGTTATCATAAAGAAACACGCAGTAAGAAACGAACAGTCTATGAGTGAAACGTCGATATCTGATCAGTCCTGGTTTACTAAAAAGTTGTGGAAAACTGCACGAATCGATATAAGAATGGAGAATGGCATTGTGGTGTGGACCTACTTGTCGTATTGAGAGGACGTGGCTTGGAGCAGAACCCAGGGGATGGAGCCCTTGGAGATTGTGGTTTTCGCCACTGGTTTTCATGTCACGATGCTGTAAGGAACACCCTTGGAAGGAATCGTCTCCCAGGTGGGTTGGCCGCCGAGAGCATCTGGATGCGGCAGGTAGAAATGACGTCCAATCTGTTTCTTATCACAATTGTACAGCCTCGCTCTCGCTTTGAAATTCACCCAGTCCGTGCCGTTAAATCGATAGTGTTGATATCCCTTCCCGCTCAGCGTTATAGCTAACCTGTATCCCGGAGGCACCTCGATACTAGTGGCTTCCTGTAAGTCTTGTGCAGCATGCACACACAGAGCAAGTGACACAAGCATGAAAATTCTCGCAGCTAACTCCATCGTCGTCGCCATTTTGTTCTTAGTTTGGTACGTTTCGACGGTTATCCAACTGACATGACCCCCCCCCCCCCAGAGAATATGAACCTCAGAAAACTGATTGTCTTACACGTACTGGTGCAATTCTTCACCTCCTGTAACTGAGCAGTTTGGATGGCTTGAACTTGTGTCCAATGAATTCTGCTAAGGTCCAGCTCTCAAAATCTATTGCTATTCATGCGTGCGTTCGCATTCAACATGTGTTGCTGGTGCCGCAACCGTTGCCCTGTACGCGTACCGTGGCGTAAAATTATGTAACAGATGACTCAGGTGTCGAGTCTATTAAATGCAACCCCTGCCTAGACCTTTTCTCAGGACGCGGTTATCAACGCTAAATGATTGGCCACGTCGTTAGATACTTGCAAAACATTATTATCAGAAGATCCCTAAGCGTCCTCACATGATGCAAACAGTAATTGGGATTCCCAAGTTGCTTTCTTATTTCTTTCTTGTTGACTAATCTGTCCCGAATTTTGGATATTTCGTCTGAAGCGAGCATAAAAGAGAAGGATTCAAGCCTCGGAGGACTCCACTTCCGGAAGTCCTTTCCCAGTGATGATGAGCACACAAGAACATGGTGCTGGATGCTCCTCCTCAAAAACATTGCTTTTGACGCCTCTTTAGAAAACCAAGTGAAATTGCGGCACTCTTTTGCATAATAATTTATGAATGTCGCAGTGGAAGTCGTGGAGGTCCCAACTACATCAAACTTTCTTTTCTTTACAATGAACTTGGGTTCAACCTGGTCAGCATCCTGGTACACAATGGGTTGCTACGGAAAGGACACACTCATGGCCACTGTGACGCGGGCACGTGAAACCTACGAACATATTTCTTGGCATATGCTAGCCAGCAAAGCCTTCGGCAGAATGTGCGGTGAAGTCCATCAAAAGCATTAGCAACATGGTAGCCCCATCTTACCCTAGCTAGATTGTTGGTTTTCTGATCCAGAGATGTCTATTTTCTTAACCTCGGATTATTCAGCAATACCATCAATCTTGCATGTGGGGCTCTTCGCTGGAAGCTGTCAGCCATTTGACTTGACCCGCACTTTGGGGTTATAATAGCATCCGAGATCTCATCAGTGATTTCAACTATTAGTTTAGTTGAAAGACGACTTTGTGAGAGTAGTTTTCACACCTCGGGGCCATGCTTGGGTGCGGTAGCCTCATCGCTTGCTTCATGAGCCAAAAATAATCAAACTCATTGAGCCAACTGACACATTTTTGCTTCAGGACTCAAATTTACTAACAGCGCAGATAGTGGATTTTAATGTCCTATGAGCTGAAACAAGTTACAACTATTCGTGCACCTTTTTTCTAGCGAGTCATGCACACCCAACTTCGGAAGCGGGACCACCATTGGCTTTTCATCTCAACTGCCAATTTGGACAGATCTATTGTGGTTTCCAAAGTTTCTACAATGAATTAGAAATCTGCAATATCTCTTGCAGCCCAGGTACGGAGATTCTCAGATCAATAAAAAAATCATTTTATCATTGGAGTAGATTTTATCATGGTATCAAAGCGGGACTGGTGTTCCACTAGTGAGGATTGCTCCTAGGACAGACTGTACCTGTTCCTTCTTGCATAGACAATAGCATATTAGATTTGGAGGAGACTTGCATGCATAGAAAATCAATAGTATTTTTTGGTTTTTATTTGCATTAGGCAGCATGTCGAGTAAACAACCCTCCATGATCACCATCAGTTGAGTAACAAACTGGAAGGGTCTGCAAATTATAGCATGTGGAAACTGAAGATGAAAGCACTAGTGAACTAAAATAAACCCCCACTAGTTGGAAGCCTATTCCACTTATCAACTATTAATTGTCCAACAATTCCCCACTAGCATTTGATTTGTGTCCAATAATCCCAATAACTCTCTAATTGTGAGCTGGATAAAACCCCTAGTGGGTGATTTACTTTAGCCCATAACTACTAATTAACTCCAAAAATGATCAAATAAAATTGCTTCCTATTTCTTACCAAAGAATTTAATTTCTTTATCTAACTAAATTCACACTCACATTCACAACACCACAATGCAACCACTTAATAACCTTAAAAAAACACACATTTGAAAGAGAATTTTTTACATGATTTTATCTTATTTTAATATATATATATATATATATATATATATATATATTCTTGTATTAATTATCATCTAGAGTTAATTTTTAATCTTCGGAAAATTCTCATCTACAAATGAGAATTCATCCGTTTTAATCAACATTCATATATAAATTTTCATCCATTCAAACCTTAATTCATCCGCACAAGACCTAATTTTATCCAAGTGATTTAAATAATACAATTGATTTTTTTATTCAATCTAAATTCTTAATGACAACAAATTGATAGTCTTGCCTACTTCTTGTGATACACTTGGCCTTTGGAATCCGGTCTGTTGAAGGGTTGGATTTGAAAAAGACCTCCCTGTGTGCTGCCTTTGTCCTCTCTCTTCCATCGATCTGGTGGTACTGGTCTTAATGATGTGTCCTCGGTGCATTTCAACCTTTTGGTTAAGATCCTCGTGTCCTCTTCTCTTCACAGCAACTAGGGTTGTAAAGAACAACAAGTTCGTGGTTCTGATGATAAATTCGAAGGAATCGATGATGAGCTTGCCCAAATGATGGAGGGCGCCTCCACTCTTGCTCACTCTCGGAACTTCACTGAGCGGCTGACGCTGAACACTAACAACTAGCCAACTAATGTAAAGCACCGGAGGAAAAGTCCTTGCAAATCTGCAATACAACTTCGAACCGATGACCTTAGTTTCGTTGCCGATAAAACTTCAATCTTCACAGACTATGAACATGTAACCTTCGATGTGTCCCGCACAAGGCGCTTGTCTAAGGAAGCGATTGCATCTGATACATCTTTGAGCATCCACCTCTCTCGTCGCACTAGTCGACACCCAATTGAATTCCGACAACAATCCCGACTGCAAGCGTTGTTCAACATTTCTAACACCTCTCAGCACGGCACATCCAGTATAGTTACACCCACGTGGACACCCAAGGGCTCCTTTTCTGCATACACGCTCTAAGGCTGATCAATGTGGCAGAAGTAAGTCACACTCCGATATGCACAACAGCAAAATGTCGACGCACCATAACCCTCTATGAATTGCGTTACAAGCACATAAAATTATACGAGTTGGACTTGTTGTAAGAAGCTGGAGAATTAGTTGATCTTAAGTTTTTTCCCCACCAATTTCGATGACCAAGGGCTCTTTAGCAAAATGAACTACGTGCTACAGCTCAATGAGTAACTCCTTCTGTAAATAAGGCAACCAGAGCAACGGGAATGGCAAGAACTTGACGTGCACAGAGCTTAGAATTGATGAGCCAAGTCTTCCCTTCTTCAACTTGACTCAGCGACAGAAGACCCAGATTTGACCTCCAAGCTAATTTATAGTTGCAGTAAGAAATTGACAATCAGCAAGGAGGCAGAATGAACCACTACTGAGACAAAGAAGATCTTCATGACTTTGCCGCACAAAACAAAAACACGAAGGAGTCGACCAGTCGATGGAGGCAACAATTCCCTCTTGACGCAGCTGAATCCAGTGGCGCTTCAACCTCGAATTCACTTCGTCATAGAAAAAAAACGACTGCACTGACTAGCACTTCGGCGCTCCATACAAGAAGGGAAACAAAAAAAACAAAAACAAAACAAAACAAAAAATGACTCTTTGTCGGAATTGAAGTCCGTACGCCGCACCTTTGAGCTCCACCCCAGGGAGCAAGAGTCACCGCCACCCACCAAGTCCAGCAGGGGGCACGAAGAAAAGGAAAAAATAAAACAAAACCAAAAAAAAACGTGATCAACCTCCGTCGCACCACCTAGTCGTCAATAATCAATGGAGCGACGAAGGTTGAACTACGACTGCTATACACCAAAGTCGATCAGTATGCCCTTGTAGAGGCTCTGGCTCCTCCCTCACAACAACACTGTTGCAATGAGGTCCGCAATTTGTGGAGCTCTAAGTCAAGAACGCAAGCCTCCTCCTTAGTAGAACACAAGATACTTCATTACAAGTGGGTTGTAAGAAGTATTGTTGGCTAATTGAACTCAAATATAAAAAAGATAGCTCAAACGCAGAGTAAGAATTTTACATTAATTTCTTTCTTATTCCAAGATGTATCCAATTCTTTAATCTAATCTTGAACTCAAACCTCTTTTTACTAAAATATCTATAATTCACTTATTATTAACTCAATCTAGGCAAAGTTAAGCTCATTGAGCTTAACTCAAGTTACAAACTTCAAATTGTCAAAGTTAATAAACAAAATTTTGAAAAAATGAGTGCCAAACCAATGAAAAAAAGTTGGCCTCTTATTGTAGCCACTACCCTCAAAACCCTCATCTACAAATTAGCTTGGATCTCCATCATTAAAGCTCTTCTTCTTGGGTGCTAAAACTTATTGGAAAACTAACAACAAAATCTAGCTTTCTTTAAATTCTCAAATCAAAAAGAAGAAAATACAAGAAATGGCATAGAAAATCTTGAATTGGTCTTGAATCACACCACCTCAAAAACTCCAACAATCTTCCTTCCATAAACTCATATGAATCTCCCTTGTCATAGCTCTTCTTCTTATATGCTAAAGCTTCTTAAAAAGCTAATAACAAGATCTAATTCTCTTCCAAATCTCAACACAAAAACATGAAAATTTTATAAATGGCATTGAAAACCTTGAACCAATCTTGAAACTTGCTCCTTCAAAATTCTAGCAATTCTCTTCCCAAATACTCTTATCTAAGCAAAAAGAAAAAAGAAATCCTATTTGATGCAAAAATTCTCATCCTAATTCTCTCTTAATACCTACCTCAAACCATTTTAGAGTTGGATATATATCCTAAAATATAATACCTTCAAAGCTTGAACAATCCATTCAAAGCAATAATTTCATATTTTAAATCTTATTCAAATTATAAATATATTAATATTATATTCTTCTTCTTTGTAAGTGAAATTAATTACTTTCTAAATATCTTTGATGCACTTAAATTAAATGCATCTTGACACTCACCCTATTAAGGATATGAATCTTGAAGAACTAAAAGATTAAAATACTCTTGTGTCACTCAAAAAGATTAGATAATGACTCAAAGATGATATAATATTAAACTAGAATGGCTATTGTCAAAGATAAGAATATTAAAAAGTCTAGAAAACAAGTCTAAGGACTAGAAAGGTGTTAACAAGAGTGAAGAAGTTTTCACTCTTGCCTCTATATATATTCTTAACTAGGAGCTACATAACAATGTCCTATAGGACCTCCAAAACATATTGACTTTATAAGATACATATATTAACTTACAATGCAAATTTTCTATATGTACGCCATATAGTTAGCTTATTCAATAAGCTATTAATATAAGGTTAATTTATTGACCAAATTTCTAACCTATCAATCAATTACAAACACATGTAAAGTTAAAACAACATCTATAAAGCTTCTAAGAAGCTTTTTTATAAAATATTATGAAATAAATTTATTTTTATTTACTTCTACTTAATCATATAAGAAAATATTAGAATTAATATATATATGTTCATGATATTATTCTCTCTTCTAAAGACAAATTCTATGCATAATAATTATTATATTTTAAAAAAAATCCAAGATGCAATAAATTATATTTGCCACATACTATGATCTATGTTCTCTTTGAAGATGGTTGATAGGTCCTCACAGCCATCAATAGTATCTTATACTAGGGAGGAAAGACCACCTTGTTATTTGATTGTTGTTGAGGTCTTTGTAACTCCCTTCAAATAAAACATTTGGAACATCATCAAGAGTTGTTCTTACTTCTAATAAAATCATCAAATATTGACAGTTTCTTCCAAGGTCGTGACATTAAACACGTAGTATTTTTCTATCTATTTGAGGAAGGACATGTTGTTCTTGAGGATCTTTATCTTAATTACATCAACTTAAAAGTTGTGATAGTTACAATATCTTATTAGGTAAATTAGCAAGTGATAGCTCTTTAAATGAATTTGTTGGTTGTTGGTTCTCCATTTGCTAAATGTCACAAATACACAAAAACTACAAATAAGAGTAGTAGATAGAATGCTATTTTTTGTAAATCTTATTTTTTTTATAGCAAAGATTTGCTATTCTTCATCTTAATTTTAATAGATATCATTAATGAAAAGCTTCAACTTTCTTTTTTGTATTTGTAAGATTTTTTGCTCGCTTTTATGTACATTTACTAATATCATATCTGTGTCAATGAATAAGACATTTTAATCTATTTTGGTGCAGCCTTAAATCTAAGACTTCTTTTATCTGAAATTCTTAATTATTATGTATTTCTTGTCTTCTTCCTAAGATATTCATTGTCTTATATGGTTCAAAAAGACATACATAGAATATATGATGGACTTTATAGACTCCGGTAGATGTAATTGATAAGTAACAGGATTGACTTATTCACAAATAGCATAAGATCCAAGCCTACAATAATCTAACTTATCATAAGAACAAGTAGTCTTGATATTACAACAAAATAACTATACATTTTCATCTATGTTAAATTGTGATTATTCCTTGTAATACATATTTGCATTTATCTTTTGTCATTCTTTGGCTTCTTTTAATTGTGCCATTTTATGTAGCTCTAATAAATGATTTGTTAAATCTTTTATATAAGATTATCAGTTTTCTCAGAAGTCAAAAGTATTAAATCATAGATGGTAATCATAATTGGCAAAGAAAAGTATTTGTTGAATAGAAAAATGTATCAAATTATTGTATGCAAACTTAGTAAATAGCAAAAGATTTTTTCAATCATCTTGATAATAGTTGATGGTATACCTCAAATATTTCTCTAAAACTTGATTCATCCATTTTTTTTGTCCATTAGTTTGAAGATGAAAAGTCAAAGAGAGCTTTATATCCACCTTTAAAATCTTCAAAAGTTTTCTCCAAAATCTAGATATAAATTGAATCATCCTATCTAATATAATATCCTTGAATAATCCATGATAGCGATAGATGTTGTCAAAAAAAAACTTAGCTATTTCTTCACATGTGATAGAATTTGTACATGGTACAAAATATGCCATCTTTGTAAAATGGTTTGCTACCATAAATATAGAATTTTATAAACCTAAGACAAGAAGATCAATGATGAAATCCATAAAAACAAAAGATCATGGTTGTTTTAGAATAGATAATGGCTGAAGAAGTCTCTAAGGGCAATAGCAAAGAGTTTTGGATCTTGAATAAATATTACATGATTGTATAAAGTCTTTAACTACCTTCTATATTTGAAGCCACTAAAAACCTCTTGATATTAGGTCCAAAGTCTTATTGTATCCATAATGTTTGAGTGTAGGAAAGTCATGAGGAGTTTAAAGAATATGTAATTGTACTTTGCCTTCAGAAATATATAATCATCCCTCAAAATAGAGTAGATTATTTTTGAACTCAAACATAGAAGTATCATGAGATTTAAAAGAATTATTCTTGATATCGTGAACAAGAAGATGAAAGGACATATTTGATTGAATTTGCTTGATAAAGATTGAAGAAACATATTGCTCAAAGATAAAAATGTTTCAACTTCAAGAGAATTGTTCTTTGTTGATTAAAAGTTGCATCTCTTTTTTTTTTGTACAAGCCAAGAACATCTAAAAAGGGCATGTGATAAACCTCATTGTTGTATCTCTAGCATCAATAATATAGTCATCTTTGCATTTTAGGCTTGAGGATATTACAAGTAGGTGATATGATTATTCATTTGAACTTGGAAAGGACACTAAGTTAGAATTTTGTTTTTCAAATTGATAATAAAATTTTAAAGATTATAATTATTATAATTAATAATTTTAAGAAATATCATTATTAATTATTATAAGAATATAATTTTTTAAATAAATAAAATTAGATTCCAAAACTATTATTTTAATTTTTTGATTGAGAAGTGAAAAATCTTATATGACTCTAAAATAAATAAAAGACTCTAAAATTATAAATATTTCTAATAGAAAAGTACAATGTAATATTTATTAAATTATTTTAGTATAAATCAAAATAATCAAATATATGACAAAGAATTTGTAAATATTTTTATATAGTATGATAATTTATCTGCAAAAAATTAGGTACATATTTATTTTAAAATCTTAAAATAATTAAAATAAAACCTTAATATTAAAATATGTGAAGTAGAGTATAATTTGGTTTTAAATTGTTAACATTGTTGAGAGTTAGAAAAAATACATTGTTATAACATATCATGTTCATGCTCATAACAAAGTTTATGAAGCCCTTGTTTATTATAAAATAAATTATTAAGAATGAGTAAAAATCAGATTTTTTTTTCTAATCAATTTTTTATTTTATGTTAATATACATATAAATACGTTTTTTCCATTCAATAATAATGCATTGTAATCAGAATACAAGATTACAAGAATAATTCTCCATTGATTTTATGCAGATTTTATTCATTCTCCCTGGTAAACAATTTCCCGATGGTTTTCACATACAGCACACGTACAATACTATAAACCATTGCAGCTGCCTATGAAGTTAGAGAAAGGGGCACATTGCACTGCTTGCGTGATCTGCTGAGGCAAACATGTTTTGCAGACTGGGTACCATTCCAGCACTAATAATCTCGATGGATATGATTTTACACAGAAAATGAAGAGAGAGTTGGGTATGGAGAAGAAGAAGTCGAGGTCTATCCGGAGCCCACTTCCTTTCCAAGAGCATATGCTAAATTAAGTATTCCAAGTTTATACTGTCTAGTAGAAGAAGCAAAAGCATGAGAATCATGAGGTATGAACTTCTACACAACGATATATTACCCACATGTGAGACTAGCGAAACCAAGAGAAGATTATGAATTCAGCAGCAGTGTGAGTTTGTTCTTTGGTTGTTTCATGCACCAGATTAACACTAAGTATATTGATGCAGTTGTCCACGATTTCTAGTATATAAAAGTTCAGTTGAGCTCATGGGAAAACTTGTTCACAACCATGCAACGGTTCAAGAAGCGAATTAACTCGATCCAGTTAAGATGTGATTCTTGAAGGTTGTTGTACCCAAAATGAACTATGTTGAGCTGTGAAGCTGTGGTACAAACAAGATGGACTCACAACTTCCTGAAGTATATAACACTTTCATGTGCGAAATCTTTCGTAGTTAGACTGGCAAAATGCTCTGCCTGGGATCAAATGTAAATAAGGTAAACCTACAATGAAATGACGTGAAACGTCTTCAGATGAATCGACTACAATCTAGAAACAGACATGGACCGCCACACTGTACCTACGCAACCATGTGAACCAAACCTCACCTTTGAATCGCATTAGCGTTACCGAATTTCTTACCATACCAAAGGTAGCTTGAGCTAGTTTGGAGCTATCGACACTACCAAGGTTTTTAAGGTTTGGGGTGTGCTGCAGGAACAGTTCCGCATGAGCTGCTTCAAACGCACCAATCCTCCCTCCTCGGAAGAGATGGAATTATCTATCTCCAACAGCAAAAGGCTCACATGTGCTCAAGAATTGCCTCTGGATGACCTCCTGCCCTTCAACCCTAACTTGACCTAGCTCCTTTAAATGCAATAAACTCACTGGTATGATTCATTTCCACGCATCTGCACTCTACCAACCACACTGGGTTACGATGGGCTCAAAATTCATCCAGAATGAGGACCTGCTTAGCGAAAGCCTGATCAATTTTGATGCTGCGGAAGACTCACCACACCTGATTGAAGAATCCATTTGGATACTGGGAATTGGTGTATGCCTGCGCATGATGGTGAGCCTGATGCCAGTTGGAAGCGCCGGTACTTCCATGCGCCTGCTCAGATTGGTTGGTGAAAGTTTCAGCAGTTCCTTCTGCAGCTGCTCCACTGCTGCTTGACGACGCAAAACCCATCGTAGCTTCTAGCTTAGCTTTCTTCTGCGAGTCTTCGAACTGACCACCAGGCTGCTCTAATGCCATATCGTGTATCGACAAGCCCCTGTTCGATCCCACAAGATGGCCTATCTGCCCCAGGTTGTGTAGATTCGACTGGGATGCTGCACCTGGAAAGAAATGGTTGCCCGTTGGGCTCGCTTCACCGTTGCCTACAACTAATTCCCTGCAAGACAAAAGAAAAAAGAGCAGCTCTCTGTCACTCTCAATTCCACCAAAAAAACAAAGAAATTCTCATTTACACAAGTGAGCCAAGTTAGTCCTGGAGACCCATAAACAAGACAATGTATACCTTGTCATCTGCGCAGGCACGATTGCCTGACTAGGGTTAGATTGTTGCTCCATGAAATCCTGCAGCGTGGCTTCGTTCCGCTCAGGCATATTCCATTGCAAGAATGGCGATGGCGTTCCTGCAATACCTGCCTGGTGCTGGTGATGATGCTGCTGCTGCTGCTGCTGCTGCTGTTGCTGTTGCTGGCGTAGTGCAACCATCTGTTCAATATACAGTAAGCGCGTGGGTTACACATCTAATATTCTTAAATAATTAGAATTGTACCAAAGTTCATGCTGACGAATACACTAAGTCAAATAATGTTGAGATTGGTACACAAAATAAAAACATATTCTCGTTTCATACCTGTTGGTAACTGTTGCCCAGAAACTCATGTTGCTGCGAGATGAACACACTTTCAATTTAGTGACGCGACGCAACTGGAACTCAAGTTTATAGCACCAATTCTTGATCGAGAAACAAGCGCTTTGTAAATCCCATTGAAAAACTATACGAAACCCTAAACACAAGATGAACCTCAGTGAACCACGGTTGAGATCAGGCACCTGTCGGTGAATTGCACTCGCAGCTTGATATGCACTGCTCACGTAACTCTGCAGGAAAATGTCGCCATAACCACCCAAAAGAAAATTAATGTCTTCACAACTCGAGAGTACGCATTGACATTGAAAATGTGAGGGAGGAGTTACAAAAATATTTCGCAGATATGAGAAATCACAAACGTACCTTCCTAGCACGCACGCGTTCAAGTGCCTGCTCCAACTCAGTTTCCATATTCGCAAGCTGTTGGACAGAAGTGATGTTCTGTAAAAGGTGCTCATCCGCCAAATACAACCTTGCCCTTTGTTGCACCAGTTCCTTTTCCTGTTGAGATTTCTTTAACTCCTCTTGTAATAACTGATCAAAGATTACACAACGCGGTTAGTCAGACGCGTAATCTAGCATGCGAAGTGAAGGGGATCTACCTTCTACAGTTCACGTGAAAACAAATAAATAAATGAAGATAAAAGCAAATGGCAAATTGTGAAGCAAGGAACAAGCCCAAAGATAGCTGACATGAGGAAGAACTTACTCCGACTTCGTAGCTCTTACTGTTGTCGTCCAGACGTAGAGCACATGCCAACATAAGCGTCAGTTAGTAAGGTCACAAAGTGCGACCAAATGACGTAACCACGATCCCCCATAATGAACTGATAAACAAACCTTAAACCCTATATAGTAAGAAGCCTTCGGAAACGTCACCAGATGCTAGTTCACGCAGGAGCAAACCAGTTACTTGAATAAGAATAAGTTCACTTACTTTCCGGTGAGGAGTTGATGATTTGCTGCGAGATCCTTTTCTCCATTTAACTTTTTCAGCGCCCTGTGTAGATACTGTATTCACACCACCAACACTTTTGTCAATGCGACACCCTAGCTTTACGAACAGGCTTGTGAATGTAGCTATTCAGAAGGTGCGCATTATCAATTCTTTTCAATCTGATGAGAGGTATTTGATTGTGAAGATCATAAAAAAGGTGTGAATTCAGATTCGTGCTGACCTCCAGATTTTCAGGTTTTCTGAGTCGACATCCGAGAATACACATGACCCACAGCACAGATGCAAACAAGTTAAACAAGAAACTTGAACCATTGGATCCTATTGATTTGGTGCATTAAATGGAAATGACAATCAGGAAAGAAATGTCGGGATGAAAGAATCGCCCTTACCTAGTATACTTGCTACGATCGTGAATCATGTGATAATTTGCGAAGCGCGTGAGCATATCCTCAAAACTGCTCCCATCAAACCCAGAACCCCAACCAAAAGAATTCTCAACATGCATCAAGTTTGCCAAAAACCCTTTTCAGTGCGTTCCACTGGGAAAGACCGACAGACAGTGATGGACAAGAATGAGGAGGAGGATGCACACCTTTTGTTTCGCTCATGCATTGGCAGGTTAGCGAACCGAGTGATAACGTCCTCAATGCTGCTTGCACAACCCCCAACACACCACGAAGCCACATCAAGATGTGCAAACTCATAACGTCGCGACCAGTACAGCGACCTACCGCTTCAAGCAAAACCTTGAGTTTCTCGGTAAAGTTCCAAGTTATATCTAGAGATAGATCTCAAGCCCACACTGGTTGAATGCAATCGAACTGCCACATGATCAATTACCGAGATCCAATCTGCTCGCCATCAAAAGCTTTTGACACTAAACTACTCCTGGTCCGGCGTTGCGCCGCTGGATTTGTGCATTAGGTAGCATTTCGAAACACGGAAAAACTACGTGAAGTTTATTGTTAGTAGGTAACTAGCCACACTTTCATCGGCGTCAAAGATCGAGGACCGCACCTGCAATTACTATATTGTGTGAGCTTTCCGGAGGGAGAAAACATGATGAGTGCGACGTCAATGTCACAAAGCACTGACAACTCGTAGGCTTTTTTGATGAGACCATTGCGCCGCTTCGAGTACGTCACTTGCCTGTTGGTAGGATTCTCAATCTTCTTAATCTCTAACTTGACCCTACCCATCCCTGCTTAGCTATTTTCTTCCCGCGATGCCGCAGCTGAGACGCCAAGGCTTCGGACACTCTCAGTCGCCGACTTTCCGCAGAGAGACCCAGCCCAAGCTACACTGTTTTGTAGTCGATACGAAATTCCTGCGCTGATTTGTGAACGCAACAAGCTGGCCAAGTGTAGGACAGTAGCAAAAATCTACAGCGTGGCGCTGCCCAGCAACTCCGTTGTAAATCCACTCCAGGATCTCTCATGCTTCCGGCCTCCTCGCTATCACAGATCCTTCCGACGATCTGATGAGAGATCACTACCGAAGCCTCGCCAGCCCAACCTAGACACACAGACCTGCGCCGCTCGTGCAACGGTACAACAAAAATCTAGTCATTCTAGTCACAGATAACTTGTGATCATGTGTCTACGAACAAACACAGATGATTCAATCTTTTAGTGCTACTCCGCTCAACACAAAACTCGACGAGCCAAGGACCAGCCGCCGAGTCTAAACGTTGTGGTGATCTCGCTCACCCTCGCAAAGGCAAGATTGTTCGTAACTCCCGCTCTCTTTCTCTCGATCGATCGTCACTCGCCAGAGACGCGCTGGTCCCTCCCCCCCTACTCCCTCCCCCCCTACTCCCTCACTCCAGGTGAACCCACCAGCCAACCTACGCAGCCTAGGCGCGCACGGCCTGCCGCGCCGAGCCCTCCATTGACCCTCGACGCTCCTGGTTTCACTCACTTACCACTCTCCTGGATCACTCCAGATTCATCTCCACTCCACCGCTTAGCAGTCCACCCAATCAGTTTTTACGTGGATCCGCAGCACAATTTTTCGTGTGAATCAGCAGTGCCCAACTGCAAAATCTCGCTACGATCACGTGTGCAAGATGAGTCAGCCTCTCTAGGGCTACAATTGCCGGGCACGTCGCCAGCATCACAATACTTCATCCCCAACTGTCCGTTCATAGTCACGTAAATCCCCTTTTGAACTCTCTTTCTCTCACTTTCGCGCTCTGTCTCCCCATTTCACCCTCTCGCTTTTGCCTCTCTTTCCAGCAACTGCGAATCCATCACCGCCTCCGATTCTGCAGTGTCCTGATCCCTAGACGCAATACATCATGTAGCTGCTCCAGTACACGCCCTCGCAGGCTACGGACCTTTGTTCTTAGTAAAGTTGCTGGACAAAACCTGAATTTGGTAGATTGGGCGATGAGAGTGACGATGAGCATGAGAAGACGGAGACTGGGAGCTAATACAGGAACGGATAGTCGCAGCAACAGCGGGTCCATGACACCATGAAGGATGATATTTGGGCCAAGTGCTTTTGCAGCAATGGCATGGCCCCACTCCACTACTGATGCTGCTGTTGCTACTCTCCCCATCTCTCTCGCTCTATCTCGCTCTTCCTTCGTTGCTGCTGTGAAACGGCACAATCCTTCCTTGCTTGCTTGCTTCCGCATCGCACGGCAAGTTATTCCACGAGATCCGGTTCTTCGTGGGGGTTTTGTCTGGTTTCGGAGAGTTGTTTTTGTTGTTGATCCTCTTCTTCGTGGGATGGATCGATCGTCGACGCCGTATCATCCTACTTCTTCTCCGTCCTCCTTTTCTTCATCTTGTGCTTTCCGACTACACTGTGAATGTGCGATGGCGATGATGCTTCATTCTCCTTCTTATGCTCCCTCCCTCCCTCCCTCCCTTGATACACTTTACTTTAATCTCACTTTTTCTATATATACGTGTGTGTATTTATTTATAATTATGATTAGTCGAAGTTTACACATATCAAATGAGTAGATTTAATGCAAAGAGCTCTTGCAGTGAATTTTAGTAGTTATATTAAGTTCATTATTATTTGCTTATAGATAAACAATGGTTTGTAGTAGTGTTTTTAATATGGGAGTGAGCTTTCATGTCTATTTATACATTACAGGAATCCTTGGTATTGTATGGCACAAAAGAAGTCGAATTCAACTTGAAAAAACTTCATTCATAGTGTGTAGAGCTTGAAAAATAAAATGATGACTTGAATATGTGTATTAATTTATTTGCATTGTGATTTATTCTTCTCTTAACTATATATATTTATATTTATATATGTATAATTGAAGCATGAGTATTGAGAATTTGTTGTTAAATTAAACTTGCAAAGGCAACTAGATTTATGTATAATTCAAAATTATTTGATTGGTTACAACTCTATTAGAGGCTAGAATAAAAAAATATAATAAAAAGGTAATTAGATTAAAAGTAGTTGTTATAAAAAACTAATTAATATTGGTAATATATATTTGAGTATTGTCTTAGATATATTATTTTTATATGTTTATATGAAATACATATATATATATATATATATATTCGTACATACAAGTAAACTCAATAAATTTTCAAATGTTAAATTTATAAACCTACATAATCAATCAACATTGAATATTTTTGGATTCATTTAAATTTTTTGTATAAGCAATATTATTTGTGTTAATTGTTAGAGGTCAAGTCACTTATTTCCCAAGATTCAATTGATCAATCTTTGAAGTACCCTAATGTTCAATTTTGTTTATTATATTATATTTTGATCTATTTATCTATTGCTATATAATTAATTTTATCTATATGAAAACATTATTATTATAATTGAAGTATTAAGTTATGTGCTTAAAAGATTTAAAGGATTTTCAATTATGGTTTTAAAACTAAGTACTTTGTAATAAAATAAGAGTAAATCATCTTTGTTTGGATTAAGATCATTCAATGTATATATATTTATATTTATATGCAATTCAATACTATTTACAACAAATATAATTTTAGTCCCAACCACTTGGTTATTTTTTTTTTTTTTATGTACACATTTATTCTTCTTAAAAAAACTAAAAATATATTTAAAAATAAAATTATACCTCAACAAATAGATTGAAACCAAAACTAACTCACACTACAAATTATCAGTAATTTACTCACAACCTTGGTTATAACAATGAGGAGTTCATATCTTGTTTTTGTTACTACCTAAGAGATGATGTGTAGGACTTGAAGGACTGTTGGATTATTTTTATTATTGTGTTTTCATCTGGATATGTATGTTAGCGCTTATATTAACAAACATTGGTCTCGTATTTAAATCCTCCACAACACATAAACAAACATTTTGGACAGTATCTGTTTCTTCCAACAACTGTTTTAATACAGTCACGTTTTGCAGTATAACATGAACAAAAAGTGTGTGACGTTAACGGTTGTGTGAAAATTACAGTCAGGCGTTTGGCTGGATTGCTTACAGAAAACATTCCTTGAAAGTGCTGGACCTATTTTTGTAAGAGATATTGTCTGCTTTAAACTAAATCGACTGGAAGTGAAAAATTGCCATGCGAATAAACAAGATAGGGTCATTTGAATAAACTATCATGCCTTGTTGCCCCAATTTCCCACAAAAAGATTCCATTTTCCCAAACCATGTTGGTAAGTTCTGTCGCTCATGGACAATAGCCAAATGGGTTCTGACAGTATTGACCAATATATTCATATTTGGAGGAGACCTTTAAACTACTTCCAATTCGAAGAGTTGTGAAGAGTCATCGATCTAATAGAGGTTTAGAGTGATATTAATGATTTTTTGAGAAAACCCATTCCAGTTACACAAACTGTTGTACGTTTCATTGCAAATATATAGAAACAAAATAAAATATTACAAATAATTCCAAATCCACATAGATACTATGAAAATAATTTCCCTACCGCACACTATTTAAGCAAGGCAACGTTGCATAGTCAATACAAGCACTGATCTCAGAACGCCTTCGTACATCCTTGAGAAAGAAGATATTTGGAGCACAAACGTCTTCACCTTCAGCAGAAATATGAGAGGCGCAATGAAGGAAGACTACGAGGTAGCCCAAGGAGTACTCATCCTAGATGACAGCAGACTTACGTTGCTTAATACAACATTGTTGCCTGCATTATGACAATAGCCTAAAAACTCAGGAATCTGTACTTCGAACGGAGGTAAACAATATCCAAAATCGAGGAGTTTCAAGATGAATAATAAACAACTGCAAGGTTAAAGCTGAAACTATCAGATCACCTCCAGTTCTTTAAAGTTTCTAAAGAAATAAAACAAGAAAGTCGAGATTGATAATTTTTTAGTACAGTGTCCGTGAGAAAGATGTCCTTTCAAAACCATGAGCACGTAGAAACTCTTGCCAAGCTATAATGAGGGAATAAGGATTAGCACCTGTAGGTGTGTCAACGAATGACTACGATCGTCTTCTCCGCATGAATGTCCGGGCCTGACAGTCATCGTTAGCATCAATCAATCTCCATTCCACATTTTAAAAGAGTAATCACTTCGAAGCCTGTCACCTCAGAAGGCAGTAATGTCAAATTCTCACCCAAACTGTTCGAATCCATCACTGAAATTTTAAAATACAAGGGAAAAAACAGCCATTAATATTCTACATAAAAAAACTGCTCACAAACCAGCTTATGAATTGCTGAGAGACAAGAAAGGCATTGAAATATCCCAAACCAATACGTCACCGAAATGCTAACCTGATCCGCTTGAAGTTTGTAGTTAATGACTCCCGAAGTAATGCATATCACGGATGGAGTCATCAAATTGGACTGCAGTATGCTAAGCAAGACAAAACAGGATCACGGAATATTAGTGCAAGAGACTCAAATGCTAACATGGATTAGATGATAAGTATTGCAGAATAATCAACAACTTGACTATAGTCCACCAAAAGAAGATAAAGAAGTTAGGTGGTCTACTGTAACCTAAAGAGACAGTAAAATTATTACCAAGCAGATTGCTCGAGCTTTCTTGCTGCAACCAAAAAAGGGACTTAAGATATCTTGCTTGCACGGCCCACAAAGCCTGTTCAAGTCAAATTTCAGAAAACCAGAGTCGTCTCGCCTTCAAATGTCTCCACCTTGCGTATATCAGCTTTCCTACAAATACTAACACATGGCACTAGGGGTAATCTAAGTAGAAGTAGGACACGATTGATATTGCTACCCATTGGCGCATAAAATGTGCAATGTGGCACCTAAACCTAGCACAGTTCGCCAGCTGCACTCTAACAACATTCCTTGATCTTCAGTATATTGTCGTGGTCGAAGGCAAACCTTCCGGAATGAATCATGCAAGAATTCTGGGCCAGATTATGTGTCTACAACTACCTAGTGCATCGCTAACTCTACTACCCCTAGTGCTTGCCTGCGCCTTCCCTGCCACCCTTCAAGATATTACTTTAATCCGCAGATGTGCCAACCTTTTATCCGGCTATTATCACCACTGGATGGGGTTGTACATTAGGGTGGCAGGGGCAGGCTGCGTCCGGCGCTCAACGGCGCCGGGCCTGATTGACACTTGTGTCACGCTGCTGCTGTGTATGTAGTTGCTGTATCCGTCATCAACATATACAACAAAACATGTTAGTACCAACTGAAATTTTCTCAAGCTCCACAAATCAGGGTTTTGTAAAAACAAAATGAAGTGATGTTTTCAGCAGCGTTTCCGAACATACATCCTGAAAAGCACTCAACCCATCAAACTGTTTACACATTGTAATGAATACTAGGTACAAAGAACGTGCAATACCTGAGTTTGCTGGAAATGATCTGGATGCTGCATGTAGCTCATGGCGTGCCCAGGGTAGGCAAACTGGGGAGCTCGCATGTACATAGCCATCGGAGCCATTTGAGCGGGATTGTAAGGCCCAATCATTGAATCAGAAGATCGATACCCCATAGCATTAACAGGTGGTACCCAGGGTGCTCGAAGATGTTGTGGGCCAAGGGATTGAGGTTGGGGGGAATCCATGTGCAACTGGCCCCTTGGAGGAACCCCTAGCTGCGGGAATTCAGTATTGTAGTTCACCACTGGTGCATACAATGCTTGGCCCCCATACGGTCCCATACTGACACCAAATCCAGGATCAAACCGCTGTGCATACCTTGCAGTGCTCCGGTCATAATCAGGATCCCTCCTGTCTTTCTCTCGGTCACGAAATATGGCTACTCGACTCCCACCGTTTCCGATACTGCCCAAGCTATTACAACTCACCAACTTTCCCCTACCAGAAGAGTCCTTTTCTCTATTATCTTTGAGGGTACCATTGGGTGGAGATACGGAATCTCTTTTGGGTGGAGATACAGAAGCACTTTTTGATGTGATAACTCTAGACTTCTTAGCGCTGTCCTCCTGAACGAATTCTCCATGTCGAGGGGCATCGGCACTGTAGCTAGCCACTCCGAAACCATTCTCTGGCTCAGGCTCCTCTTCGCCACTTTTTCCTGTCAATTCGCAACAGAAGATGCGTGCACGTGCCTAAGGAAATACAAAAGGACAGATCAGAAAAAGAACTACGGTATCCAAAATCTCCTGAACTTCAGACAAACGCAAACTAATTGTAAATCTCAGAACCATCACTTGTAGCTATATTCGACCACAACGTACCAAGACGAATCCGCAGTAAAATAATCTTTCAAAAATCTAAATACAAAATCACACTGACAACAGTTACCTTGTTATACTCTTCTTTTCTTTCCTCAACGCTCTTCGACGGGTTCAGCTTGCCGGAGCTCCCACCTGGCCCAAACCCATTACTGCGACCCCCCTTCAATGGTCTCTGCTTGATGGCGACCTTAGAAGGCACGGCAGGTGCCACCACTACCTTCTCTTCTTGATCACCTGCTAGGGGAACAACAGGTATATCAACAAGGCGGAGACTCGGAAAGCGTGTTTCACTTGTCTTTTTGGCGACAATCCGCGTCCCTTCAGCGGAACCTCCATCAACTACCATTGATTGGAGGTTATAGTGCTGAGCCACACGATGTGCAGCCAATCGAAGATATGACGACGGCATAGGCTGGAACTCAAGGATCTGCAAGCTGGGATTACGAATGAATCGCTCAACCTCTTGTTCCAACCTTAGAACTGCACAAAAAAATTGACATATCACAAATCGCATGTTAAATCGCAATAAAAACAGTAACACCCACTCACTTCAACAAAAAGAAAGTTGATAAATCTGAGAAAACACAACAACAAAGCATCATATTAAATCTGGAAATATCCACATTGCGAGAGAGCACTCCTGCCCATGGAGTTCAGGTAGTACCAAGTGTAAAATCACTGGAATAACAAGCGTCTAAAGGAGTCACAATTCCTACATTAAAAAAGTGCATACGTAACTTAATGTGTACATCCAAGTACGTGAGCCACAAGAAACTTGACCTCATAGTTGCTGAATGCATTATCGCAGTACGACGAATTAGAGCCAGAGAATCAACCCACAGAAAGCTGTGCGTCTCTCCTTGTCCGATACTAAAATGGTGGATCGAATGATATGTAGTACGAATAAAATAGGAAACAAGAAAACCCTGATGGGACCCAAAAACCTACTGAACAGTGCCTCTACACGAAGCGGCCAAGAATAAAAATAGAACTTTACTTGTGAGACGATCTCGAGGGTTCTGAAGAGCTTCCTTTAGGAAGCCATCCACTTGGTCAGGGCCACTGGCAGCGTCTATGGAATCAGTTCGGAAAGGCAACAGCTCCGTAGTCAATCCATTACTCTCACTGGCGATGCAAGCCTCCGCAGAAACTTGAGATGAAGCAACTTGGGAAGTCGACAGCAACTTCTTCATGTTCACCTTCAAATCCACCATCTCCCACGACTCCACGGCGAAGCTCTCCACCTCAGGCGCCGCCTTCCTCACGTCTTCCGAATCCGCCATCAGTTCTGGCACGATCAAACCCATAAACAAGAGCCGGACACCCTCAGCTCCCCTTGGATTGATACGAACTACCTCATTAGTAAACGCATAATAACTCCACTTGCCTCCACCTTCGAAACGCCCGCAACAACATCAAACCCCACCACGCACTCCCACGCAGACCAACTACAGCACCATTCTCTCCATCCTCGTTCGGTCGCACATGCAACTCTCCATGCCCTCTCTCAAACCCTAACACACCAAACCCTAATCGCCAAAACCCACTAACCCAAAGCACCGCAGCAGCAAGAATTCCCACCACCCTCCTAACTATGCAACGCCAGCGCTCAACGGCGTGAGCGGAATCGAGGCGGCAGTGCTCCGTAGCAAAGTGGTGGTCAACGTAGCAAAGAACTCCCTCTTTCAGGAATTCTATCCCCCTCCCCCCCCCCCTGCCCCTTCTTCTGCTTCTCAGAGAGAGAGCACCGAGCGAGGAGCTCCCTCCATTCCCCCTGAGCGCGACCCGCTGCGTTCGCCCGCGCCAGCCAATGCTCATCCTCCTGCTCCCAATTGGCGAACAGGTACAGGGCCTTCAAGCCTCACAGGAAGGGTCGCGGGCGGGCGGGCGGGGGGCCAGGGGTGCGCCGAGGGTGTTCCTGGCGTTTGCTGGGTTCGCCCGGGCTAGGTTTGAATATATGAGAACGCGAGATCGCATGGAGAACGCCGAGGGAACAAATGGTTTGTGTGGGTGGCGTTCACACGGAGTTGGCGAGGGCAGGAAGCTGGATTGTTCTGGAAGGGAGGTGGGTTGCCTCCCTCCCTCCCTCCGTGACCATTCCCAACTCTCACGCTTCGCTCAGTAGAAAACTCTTTGTTGCAAACCAAAGAAAACACAGAAACGTATGTAAAACAAATTACGAATACCCTTATGAAAAGTAATTCAAGGAAAAAAAAACAAAAACAAAACAAATGATTACAAGGTTTCAACTTTGTACTCAACCTGAATCAAAAGGTATTAGCTTTGTTCATTTTAAAACAAGAATTTTTGCAAGTATTCTTTCTTCAAATCCAAACTTGCAAGCTTTGAAATTTCAAATTTATGTAAAGCTATTAAATTATATCAGTAATAAAATAAATAAATAAATAAAACATGCACAAATTTCTTCAAAACTTTTAATAGACTTCTCCATATACAAATATATGTACACACACACACTCTATCAATTTAATATATGTAGGAAGTTGTTAAAGCATATTTCAATGTTGTTAAAGGCACACCTCCCTTGCCATCTCATAATTGATTTTTTTTTATTCCAGTCTCCGTCTTCTATCTCCAATCATATGTCTTTATTTTCCTTCCTTGTCCATGTCCATGTTTCCTTCCTTCATCCCATATTTATGTTCCTTTCCATCATTCTCTATCCTTCATCCTTCTTCTTGTCCATCATTACTTATCTCCTAGTGTTTTTTGCAAGCAATCAATATAAATTAGCACACTTTGTCTCCTATTCTTCTAGGTCCTTTGTATCATAATATATTGACTAATTTCATTTTTCATATTCTAACTTAGAAAAATATGACTCCTCAATCTACTATCAAAGACATGAATCTCATAGAATTAAAAGATCAAATCAAGTTTCTTATATGCACGCCACATTGTTAGCTTGTATTACAAGTTATCCACACATGCAACACATGGCTAACTTATTGGCCAAGTTTTTAATCTATTAATCAACTATAATCATGTATAAAATTAAATACACATTTATAAAGCTTCTAAGAAGCTTTACTATAATATAATATCAAATCTACATCTATCTATCTTCTCTTCAATACTTCTTCTTTAGATAAATATATATGTCTGTGATATTATTTTTTTTTTCTAGAAATGAGTTCCATAAGGATGAGTCATTATATGTTGAGGAAGTTCAAGATTTAGTAAATTATGTTTATTACATACTTTGATCTTTGTTTCTTTCAAAGATGGTTGATAAGTCATCTCAGCCATTAATAGTATTTCATACTGAGACAAAAAGTTCACCTTGTTATTTAATCATTGTTAAGGCTTTTATAGCTCTTTTCAAATAAAACATTTAAAACATTGTTAAGAATTTTTCTTACTTCTAATAAAATCACCAAATATAGGAATTCTTTTCTAAAGTCATGATATCAAACGTAATGTATCTTGCCATCTATTTGAGGATGGACATGTTAATTTTGAAAATCTTCATCTCTATTATGTCATCTTGAAGGCTATGACAATTGTAATGTCTTGTGCAATAAGTCAGTAAAAAATAGCTCTTGAATTGAATTTGTTGGTTGTTGATTTTCCATCTTTTTAGTACCAAAAATATACAAAAAACTAAAAACAATAATAGAAGATAGAATATATTTTTTTATATCTTTTATAAAAAAGATTTAATATTTTTATTTTGATTTTAATAGATGTATTCAATAAAAAGCTTCAATCTTCTTAGCTGCATTTGTAAGATTCTTTGCTAGCTTTCATGTGTATTCATTAATAGCATATTTATATCAATGAATAACATATTTTAATCTATTTTGGTACCACCATGAGTTTAAAACTTCTTCCACCTCAAACTCTTGATTATTATCTACTTCTACAAAAAAAAAAGTGACACTTATCTTCTTTCCAAGATATTGACTATTTTATATAATTTAAAAAAATATATATGTAGAATATGAGATAAATCTTCATAAACTATAGTAGATATAATCGATAAGCAATTAGATTGATTTGTTCACAAATAAGAAATAATTCAAGCTTATAATAATCCAACTTGTCTCAAGGACAATTAATCTTGATATTCTAATAAAATAATCATACCTTGTCGCTAAGATAGAAATGAGGTTATTTCTTGTAATAGGCATTTGTGTTGGTCTTTTGTTATTTTTGAGTTTTTTTTAATTATACTTTCATAATTATATGTAGTTCAAATAAATGATTTGTCAAATCTTTTATTGTAAGATTATTAACTTTTGTAAAGTTATAAGTATTAAGTTGTGGATAATAATTAGGATGAAAAGCTATTTTTTACATTGAAGAATATATCTTATTATTATAAATAAATTTTTTCAATGGCAAGAAAGTTGTCTATTCATCTTATTAGTAATTAATGGTACACCTCAAATATTACTTCAAAATTTGATTTATTCACTCTATTTGTCTATCAATTTGAGAATAAAAATTCAAAGATAACTTTATATCCACCTTTAAAATCTTAAAAAGAATTTTTCAAAATCTTGATACAAATTGAATCTCTTTATTTGATATAATATCCTTGAGTAATCCATAATAGCAATAGATATTGTAAAGAAAAAATTCAGTTGTTTCTTCATAGATGATAGATTTTGTACATGATATAAAATATACCATTTTGATAAAATGATCTATTACCATAAATATAGAATCATAAGAATATGAGACTAGAAGATCTATGATAAAATCCATAGAAATAAAAGACCATGATTGTTTTGGAATAAATAATGGCTGAAGAAGTTCATAAGATCAATAATAAAGAGTTTTTGATCTTAAACAAACATCACATGATTGTATAAAGTTTTTTACTACATTTTATATTTGAAACAACTAAAAAACTTTGGATATTAGCTCTAAAGTCTTATTGTATCCAAAATATCCAATTATTAGAAAGTTATGATGAACTTAAAAAATACATAATTATGCTTCATCTTTAGAATACATAATTATTTCTTAAAATAGACTAGATTATTTTCAATTCACACTTAGAAGTATCATAAGTTTGAAAAGAATTATTTTTAATACTATGAAGAAGAGTATTAAAGAACATATTTAATTGAACTTACTTAAGAAAGGTTGAATCAACAGTCAATGTTGATTTTATTTTTTAAAGTTGAAAATGTACTAACTTCAAGACAATCATTCTTTATTGATCAAAAGATACATCTTCATCTTTTGATACAAGATAAGAATATTTAGAAACGGTGTTTGAAAAACTTTATTGATTTCTTAGTCAACAATTGATCTTAAAATCAAATCTTGATAAAGACATGATCCAATAAGCTTGGCAATGATTCAAAACATGTACTTCCATAAAATACTTGAGGTTCTTATAATCTGTATATATAGTGATTAGAGTAAAAGTGTCTTCTAGACAATGATGTCATTTTTAAAATGAATCCATGATTGCAAAAAGTTTTTTTTTGTAGATCTTGTAGTTAATCTTAGTTGAAGGAATTTTTTTAGAATGGAATGCTACTGAGAAGAGCTTATCATTTGCTCCCATTAGTAACTATACAATGACTATATAATAATTTTTATCATCTTTCAATTTTTGTAATCTTTTTTCAAGTTGCAAAAAACTTATAAAATTTGTGTAGTCATCATGTAATATTTTTGCATTCAAATTAAAAAAATTTAGTAAGTAAGATCAAGATAAACAAAGATCATACAATAAAAATTGAAGATATTAATATTCTTCTTTTAAAAATATCTTAATAATCTTAATATTAGCTTAAAATACTACTTGAAGTCTTTTCTATATCAAAATTAATTCTTGCATATATAGCAAAAGCTGACTCTTTTTTAGTAACATGTATGAAAGCTCTTATACATATCAATAAAAGTTTAGTTATAATGGACTTACAGATTTTTATTTGTCTAGTAGAATCATAGATTAAACTATGAAAAAAATGAAGGTTATGTTAAGGACCATATACAAGACAAGGATTCAAGATCAAGAAATGAAATTAGTTTGACATTAAAACAATAACTAGATACAAGGCAAGAAGGTCCTAGCTAGACCATAAGAAGTGAATTGTCGAGATTGAAGATCCCTTCAACCTCGAGTCCTATATATACTAGGTCTTAGGAAGCTTCTTGAGAAGTTTTTATAAGGCTTAGGATCAAAGGAAGCCTAAGATCCTTCCTCCACAACTTCCTAAATCATCTAAAGCCTCCTAGAGCCTTTTAGGATCTCCTATGACCTTCTAGAACTTCTTTAGAATCTACTAGAACCTTTTGGAACTTTCTTAGAGCCTATTAGAACCTTTTGGAACCTTCTAGGATCTACAAGAAGCTTCTTAGAACCTTCTAAAAGCTCTTAGAATCTTCTCGACTTTTCTTTAGTTGTATATCAGTGAGATCACCTCTTCCTCTAGCATCGAGGTCTTCAAAAAGCAATGTTGCTACAAGTTAATATATGCGCAAGAAGTTAAAGATCTATCGCAAGATGTTTGCTATATATTCCAGTTGTTTTTTGCAATGCATAGGGTAATAGATCCTTGTAGCTATCGATAGTGCTCCAAGCCTTCTACTTGTGACCAAGCATAAAATTCAATATCTTTATTATGGAATTGTCCTACAAACACTCCTTCTGGACGTTCTTCATAAGTAGGTGTCAAGGATAAGAACTCGATGAAAAAGTAATTTAGCCAAGTGAGCCTTCAC